TTTGTTTCCTTAGAAACACCAAACCCTTACACCCAGGGCTGGTATCCCCGATATCCCCTCGCCCATAGCAGATTGCTTGCAATCTGGCATCACCCCAAAAGCCAGGAGCCACCCCCCCCCAGCCCTATCCAGCAACACCCCAAGGGGATGCTCTCACCTGAGAGACCTGCACAGGGTTGAAGAGGGGAACTGTCCCCACCAGTGGGGGAGATTTGTGGGAGCCAGCCTGCAAGGGGTGAAGGACGAGAAACTTAACAGCCACCCCCCCCCCAATTTCAAAGCCAGAGGGGTCCTGGACCCCCCATCACACACGAATACACCTCCCTCCTCTCCTCACCTGCTCGCCCACTGACGCCTCGCCATCCGTGTCCCCCAAGCCTTTCATCTCAATGGACGCTGGAGTAACAGCGAAGGTGTTTTCACCTTGCATTCCTCCTGGGGCATGCAACCAAAATACAAAATAAAAAAAAAAAAACACCACTTAAGATTAAGAGGAGCAGCTTCTTAAAAGGCTGTCACAGGGAGCGGGGCGAGAGGACCCACGTGGCATTTACCGGGGTTTTGGGCGAGAGGCTGAGCCGAAGGGCTCGTCGCAGCCGCGAGAGGGGCGTCAGGTGGGGATGGCGACGTCTGTTCCTGAAACCACATCCACCCATTGAGAGCAGAAGCTCCTTGCGTGCTGAAAAGACCTTTGCACCAGACACCACACCACACTTTCGGGGAACTGCTCTGCACCCATCCTGCTGGAGAGGTACCCCGAGAGCTGCAGGCAACCGAGCTAAGGAGGGGCTACAGGGTCAGGGCAAGCAACCCTTCTCACAAAGCTAAACCACCCAGAGAGCTCAAAATTAAGCAGGAGGCTAGACACCAAGCCTGGCTACAGTGTAAGGGGCCACCAGGGTTCATAGATCCCCTTCTGTTCCTGATCTCCTGCTAGTTTGGGGACAATATCCCACAATTTCCTGCTCCAGGACTGTAGGTCATTCTCAACCAGGAGGAGACTTCCAGGGGAGGATCTCTCTCCAACATCTGCCTCCAAGCCCACCATCAGCCTGCAGTTGGGGATGTGACACTCTGAGGACTCGGCCAGGACTGGGATAACCATGCATGGCTGCTTCCCCCTCTCTGCTGCATCCCCATCTCTCCTGCACTTCCAATTACGGAGGCTTTCCTTCCCGTCCCTTCAGCTCCTAAATCACGCCCGAGCCGTGCCGCTTCAGCTTCTGCGTTCCACTCCAGCGGAGGGCAAGCGATCCCCACAGATTTTGCCAAGTACTCAGAGGACCTCCCAGATCAGAGAGGCTTTATACATTTACAATTACTATTAACATAGTTGCCGAAGGGGGAGATGTGTCACCTGTCCCCATGGCTGTAACCCTGCGTGTCACCCAGGAACAGGACAGCCTTTCATCCCCTACCTGCGATCCCGGCATGGGGGAGTCTGGGGCCATCTCAGATGCAGCTTTGGGAGATGTTTCTTTGGTGGGTTTGGACCAAAACCAGCCAAACCACCTAAATCCAGAGCTCTGGGAAATGAAGGTTGTCACAGGCAACAGAAATGGTTGAGAAGGGGCGGGGGGATGCCACAGCCACCCAGATGCCCCCGGTGCCAGCCAGGAGCAGGCACCGTTTTGCCCAGGTCAGGGCAGCCACAGCGGGCATCAGGGAGAAGCAAGCTCAGAGCACGAGGCTTCACGTCAGCACTGGCACGCTCACCTTATCCTCACCCGGCTTCACTGCCTCTGCTGCTGCCGGCTCTTCAGCGGCATCTTCGGCTGCGCTCTCCGAGGAAGGCCGGCTGTCGTCTCCCAAGGAGATGGTGGAGCTCTCCGAGATGGTCCGAGCCCTTGCTTTTAACTCCTCCTGGCAGAGATCAGAGCTGCCCCTTAGTGTTCCCAGAGGAGCCACCCCAAGCACAATCAGAGCACCCCAGGACTCCTCCGTGGCAGGTGTAGCGTCCCTGGGGACCTCCACATCCCTTACACAGGAGGTAGGGAAGGATAGCACCCATGGCAGGGTGCAGTAGGCGGCCCATGGTCTCAGAGGTAGGAGGCTGGAGAGGGCTAACCCTAACCTGTCAGGTCCCTGTGGGGACAGCTGGCACCAGGATGAGGGGGGTTCCTGTGAGTTAAGTGCGTGGAAGGTTGAGCCAGCAAGTCCCAAATCCCCTTGGGGTCCCCGATGGGGTAGTCCCCTTGACCCCTCCCCTCCAACTCACCTGCTCTGCCGGGCAGGATGGCTGCACGCCCCCAGGGGACAGCGGGGCACCCTGGGGCTCCCCAGCTTCTCCTGTAGAGCAGAGGGAAGGACACAGTCAGGGGTTGGCCCAAGGAGCTCCTGCTACATCTGTCAGAGGTGTTTTCAGTGCTTCTATCATCCCATCCCAGAGCAAGGCCACATGGCCAAGACGTGCCCCTCAAGAGATGCAAAAGGCCATTCCGGTCCCTGTCCCAGGGAGTAAGATACAAGGCTGCTCCGGTGCATCTCAAAAAACTTGCCTTGCGCTGCTGGACGTGAAGCCCGTTTTGCCACCCGGCAGGGAAGCAGCAGCATGGCCCCCAACCCACAGCTGCCCTCCCTCGCTGCTTTGAGCAAGGTCTTCCAAAAATGACCTTTGCACACACGGCACCGTTGCCCCAGTAGCTCCATGAGCCGGGCAAGGTTGGAGGGAAACAAGGTGCTGGGTGAAGGCAGTGCTGGCAGGGAGTGGCATTTGAAGTGACACACGTACCGTAGGGGGTCACGCTTCCCCCAGGGACATCCCATCCCACCACTACTAACCCGGGACAGGAATTTCTGCAGAGAAGCAAGGCTGGAGCGCTTACCTGCCGGCAGCACCGCCTGCAGAGGGGACTCGTCAAAAACCCCTTCCAGAGGGACTGCCGTTCCTGGGCTGAGTGTGGGGGGCTGCAGCTCTTGCTCAACACCGAGCAGTGGTGATGCTGTGACCTGAGTGGGTACCGGGGGCCAGAGGGGCACGTTCTCATGGGAGCTGGGTCCCTGGGGTGGCACAGGCTGGTACCACTGGTCGTACTGGTAGCCTTCGCTGCGAGGATGCTCACGGGCAGGCTCTCCATCTGAAAAAAAAAAAACAAAACATACCAAAACCCAACACCCACACCTCAGGAGTTTACTCCGGTGTTTATAATTTCATGGGGCTGTTGCACAGAATTCTCCCCTTTTCCATTATGCATCAGCGGGAGCCCGGGGGATGAGGAGGGACCCTGGGGACCACGTGCAGGCAAGGGAGGAGGTTGAGCACGGCGCGGCGGCGGGGACCTTTCAAAGGCTTCAAGGAAGGTGGGCTGTGAAAGACGGAGGGGAAAAACCTCCTGGGAACGTGCCTGAGGTTGCAAACGAATTCAGAAGGGGAATGCCATGGAAGCTAAGAGACCAAGCGCGAGCAGTGTGTACCAGCAGTTCAAAGGAGCCCAGGGCCCCCAGCCTTGTCTTCCACTCCTGCTACACACCTCCAGTAGGAAAGAAAATTCACAAGGAAGCCACACAGCCTTGATTCCTGTTCCACAGGAGCACCCACGGATGAGTTTCTTGCTTTAGGCAGATTTATTCAGGGTTGGGGTTTTTTTTGTTTGTTTGAAAGGCAGGTTGAGCAAGTGGCGTTTGTTTTATTTAATATGCACACACGCTTCTCTGTCTGATGTTAGACACGGTGCAAGCGGCACGCTGCCCTTGGTCCGTGTCCAGCTTGTTCCAGCACTGCAGCCTCCAGTCAGAAACATGCTGGGCACTGGGAAGTTTCTCTCCCATCGCTGTGAGGCAGGACCCAGACCCTGTGAGCCTAAGCCTGGGAACAGATCACGGCACCTCTTGGATGCAGTCCTACAAATCCCTTTGCTTTGCCTGTCGGCATTGCCTCCAGCCCGCTCAGGTTTGGCTTCACACCTGCGAGCTGCTTCTGCACAGCCTGGAGATGCTCAAGATCTCCAGGGAGGAGGATGGATGCTCAACTCCACACTACCCAGGCAGAAAAAGTCAGGGAGGACAGCCCAGGCTGTAAGGATGGAGAGGGAGGTTGCTGTGACCACATGGATCCCAGCTTGGCACCTTGACTTGGGCTTTGTCTTTCCCAGACGGATGAATTCAGCACCAAGCCAGCTTTCTCTGCATGCAGGTCCCTCAGACGATCACTCTGGATGGCCTTCTCGATGAACAAAAGGGTCAAGCATCAGAAAGGCACGCTGTGGAGACCACACAGAGCAGACCTGGCTGCTTGGAGAAGCCATCCCATCATACTCGCAACTTTTTTCCAGGGACGGATATCCAGCCTCAGCCGTGATAGCAGCAGAAGGCAATCAGGATTGATGATCCATTTTACTGCCTGGGAGAGCTCTTTGAAGAGAAATTTGGCAGCAGGAGGGAAAGCGGAGAGGAAAGA